GAGCTGAGCTCAGGGGTCCGGGGGCTGTGGGCAGGGGCTGGGGGAGTAGCTGGGGGAGGGGGACAGGTCTGGGCAGGGTGGTTGGCCTGGTGGGTGCTGCCAGAGCACAGAGCCGGGCGTGGGAGCACGGGAAGGGTGGCCAGGGAGGCAGGCTGAGCTCCTGGCAGCTCTTGTAGAAAAACAGTGCCTTTGTGTTACCTGCCTTTGGCTCCCCAGTGCTCCCCTTGGGGCCTCCTGCCTCTTTCGCCTGTGAGATCTGTACTGTTTGTGAGCCTGGGTCACGTGTGGGGAAACTGAAGCAGTAGGGCAGATGGAGACCAGAGATGCCACAACGCCTAAAATGTCCAGAGGAGACCAGGCCTCGGCATCCCCGGGCCGACGGGACCCGCGGCACCCCGCCTCACCCGTGCCGCGCTGTCCACAGGTACGCCCGTGAACCGCATCCCCATCATGGCCAAGCAGGTGCTCGACCTGTTCATGCTGTACGTGCTGGTGACGGAGAAGGGTGGCCTGGTGGAGGTCATCAACAAGAAACTGTGGCGGGAGATCACCAAGGGCCTCAACCTGCCCACCTCCATCACCAGTGCTGCCTTCACGCTGCGGACCCAGTGAGTGGCTGGGCTGGGTGCTGGGACAGGGGGACAGCAGGCTCAGGATGCAGCTGACTCATGGTTAGGGTTTAAAGACCCCACAGAGCTGGGCCTAGCGCTGCCCGCCTGTCATCCTACCACTCTGGGAGGCTGAGGCAGGAGGATCTCTGGTTCACACCCAGCCTGGGCAACTTAGTCGTTTAGCAAGACCCTGTCTCAGAATAAAACTGGTCGCAGGGAGATGGGGCGATACTGCCCCTGTGCCTGGTCAGGGGCAGCCCAGTGCCACACTGTCCGCACCCACAGGTACATGAAGTATTTGTATCCCTACGAGTGTGAGCGACGTGGTCTCAGCAGCCCCAATGAGCTCCAGGCCGCCATCGACAGCAACCGGCGGGAAGGCCGGCGCCAGAGCTTCGGTGGCTCCCTCTTCACCTACTCGCCAGGCAGTGCCCACGGCATGCTGTCCTCACCCAAGCTGCCCGTGCAGTCCCTGGGCTTGGCCGCCAGCACCAACGGCAGCTCCATCACCCCAGCCCCCAAGATCAAGAAAGGTGAGGGCTGTCTGGGGCCCTGGGCCACCTTCCAGCTTGGCTCCGGAGTGCAGGGAGTCCTTTTTCCCTCTCCAGACTTCCATGAGAAATCCTGGGGTGGCAGCCACAAAGGTACCCATCTGGGCACAGAGGGCACAGCTGTGACCCCAGCGCTCTGGGAAGTGGAGGCAGGGTGCCCTGGCAACTCAGCAAGACCCTGTCTCCATAAGAAAAATGAAAAGGGCTGGGGATGTAGCTCAGTGCAGCGGCCCTGGGTTCTGTCCCTAGTACTGGAAAAAAAAAAGTCTGCATGCTAAACACCAGCGTAGTGCTGTTGTTATGAATGACATTGCTGACAGCACGCTGTGTCCTTTACTGTCTGCTGTGACAGAAGATTGATTGATTGGCCGGTCGGTTGGTTTTTTGAGACAAGGTCTCACTATTCAGTCCAGGTTGGCATTGAAGTCACTATGTAGCCCAGGCCAACCCCAAACTTGTAACCCTCCTGCCTCAGCCTCCTGAGTGCTGGGATGACAGGGGCTTTCTCACGTCTGTTTGCAAAGCCATCTGCCTCCGCGGAGAGGAAGTGAGCTCCCGGCAGTAGAGGTAACCCCTGCGTCCTGTCTGGGGCCAAGGGCAAGGCCAGGCCTCTCGAGCCCCCCATCCCCTTTTTTGTACCGGAGATCAAATTGAGTCCCTTGCGCTTGCGAGGCAGGCGGCAGAACCACTGAGCTGAATCGCGGCCCTCAGATCCCTCTCTGACCTCTGCTGTCCCCTGTGTGTCTAGAGGAGGACGTGGCCATTCCCATCACAGTCCCTGGCCGCCTGCCCGTGTCCCTGGCGGGCCACCCTGTGGTGGCGGCCCAGGCAGCCGTGGCAGCGCAGGCGGCGGCCCTGGAGCATATCCGGGAGAAGCTGGAGTCCGGGGAGCCCCCCGAGAAGAAGATGGTGCTGGTCTCGGATGAGCAGCAGCGGCTCCTGCACCGAGCTCTGCAGCAGAACCTACTGGCCATGACCGCCCAGCTGCCCATGAGCATCCGGATCAACAGCCAAGGTACCAGCTCAGTGCTTCCCACCAGCGGGACAGCAAGGGCCTCGGAGCTGACCTAGGTAGAGTGCTGCCAGATCAATAAGCAAAAATACAACCAGCCAGCGGAGGACGTGGGACTGAAAAACTCCTGTGAAAATGCTGAGCCCATCTCGGCAGAGGGCTGCACATTTACACAGACAGGTGCCTCCCATGAGTTTAACCTCGGGTTGGCAGGGTTGGGGGGTACCTTGGTCCTATGGGCAGGAGGGTGAGGAGGTGACAATTTGGCCACCTCTCTCTCTCTCTCTCTCTCTCTCTCTCCTTTTCGGGGGATCTGGGGATTGAACCTAGGGCCTTCACACTGAGCTACATCCCCAGCCTGAATTTTGAGGCAGGGTCTCACTAAGTCAGTCAGTGGCCTGGGCTGGGTTGAAACTTGTGATCTTTCTACCTCCACCTGCTAGAGTGCTAGGATGACAGGTGTGTGCCACCGTAACCAGCTGGCAATCTCCTTGAAAATAGAGAATATGCCCAGCGTGATGGCGTACCCTAGTCATCCTAGCACTTGAGAGGCTGAGGCAGGAAGATTGCCACAAATGAATTCAAGGCCACCCTGAACTATAGCAAGACCCTATCTCAAAAAACCAAAAAAAGTGGAACCAGGGATTTAGCTCAGTGGTTCTGGTTCCTGCCTTGCAAATGCAACGTCCCAAGTTCAATTCCCAGTAACAAAAAACAAAACAAAACAAAAAGGCTGAGGATTTAGCTCAGTGGCATGCTCCTGCCTGGTAAATGCAAGGTCCTGACTTTGATTCCCAGTACCAAAAAAAGAAAGAAAAGAGAAAATAAATGTAGATCCAGGTATGGTGGTACATAACTGTAACCCCAGCACTTACTTAGAAGGCTGAGGCAGGAGGGTCAACAGGAATTTAAGGCTAGCCTGGGCCATGTAGTGAGTTCAAGGCCACCCTGAACTACATAGTGAGACCCTGTTTCCAACCCACATCATGGAAGGAAGGAAGGGGAGGGAGGGAGAGAGGGTAGGAAGGGAAAAAAAAGTAGTTGAGCACAGGGTACACCCCTGTGGTTCCAGCTATTCCGGAGGCTGAGGCAGGATAAACACTTCAGTCTCTACCCAAGCACCTTAGTGAAACCTTGTGTCCCAAAAATAAAATAAAAATAGCAGAAGGAGGAAGGCCGACCACTGAGCACCTGCTGCACGTGCTGGTGACACTACACCCTTCACCTTCTTTGAGCTTATGGTGAAGGGGCAGAGAGCCACAAAGCCAATACATTTCTGTGGTTCGCTTTTCCCTGCAGCCTCTGAGAGCCGGCAGGACTCGGCTGTCAGCCTCTTGGGAACCAACGGCAGCAACAGTATTAGCATGTCGGTGGAGCTCAACGGGATCATGTACACAGGTAGGTGCCGAGGCCTCGGCCACCTGGACCACAGCTGTCCCTGCTAAACGCAAGGCCCCTGGGCTGACTCTGGCCTGCAGCCGGGGATCAGGGGCAAGAGCTGGCCAAAGGCATTTGGGGGCTGGGAGGTGGGGTCCTTACATAGTAGGAAACTGAGGCAGGAGGGTCCTTGAGAGTTCCGGGCTAGCCTGGACTACATAGCTAGATCCTGTCTTAAGAGACAAAAGTGGTAGCTGGCTGTAGTGATCCATGCCTATCATCCCAGCTCTCTTGGAGGCTGAAGCAGGAGGCTTTCAAGTTCCAGTCAAGCCTGAGCAGTTTAGCAACTTAACGCGACTCTATTTCAAAATAAAAAATCAAAACAAAAAAAATGGGCGGGGGGGGCGCTGAGTGCAAGCCTCAGAACAACAATAAATGCAGTAGCACATAGCGAGCACTGTGTGGCGCTGTGGGCAGAGGGCAGCCTGGTTGCAGAGTGGACAGGGGCTGGGAGGTCACAGGCGTCGACCTCCAGGGTCAACACATTGCTGGAAGTTGAGCAGTGGTGGCCTGGCCAGTTTCCATGACAATCTCTCTTCTGTCCTGCACCAGGGGTCCTGTTTGCTCAGCCGCCGGCCCCCACACCACCCTCGGCACCCAGCAAAGGTGGTGGAGGCGGTGGCGGCGGCAGCAGCGGCGGCGGCAGCAGCA